TTATTTCTTATTAAAATTATAAATTTTTATATAGAGAGAAAATTTTAATTTTTACTATATTTTATTAGTAAATTTAGTCTCTGAGTCATTACTTTTGGTTGCAACTGTATATTTGAATATAATAAGAATATTATACTTTAAATAGAGATATATATAATAATTTTGATTGAATTATATTTTTTTAGTTTAAATCTTTATTTTGTATTATCTGTATTAAAGTTTAATTTTTATATTATAATTATTTCTACTCTAAATATACAAATAATTATTATATATTTAATTAATTAGATTTATATATATTATTATATAAATAATTACTATATATTTCATAATTTCAAATTTAAATTATTAATATTTTTAATTAATTTTTATTATTAATATTTTTTTATATTATTTATTCTTTTTATTATTATTTATATTATTATTTATATTATTATTAATTATTGAATTATGATTAATTATTTTCCAGAAATATAAATTAAATTAATTAATTATGTTTAATTATATATATTTTATATTATTAATTTATTCTTATTTTGTATTTATTTCAATTCTTATAAATATATTCTTTTATTCTGTAAATTAACTTTAAATCTAAATATTATTCAAATAATAAAATTATAAGTTTATAAATTAAAACTATTTATTTTGTATTTTATTTTATTTATAATCATTAATAAATAATCTTATATTATATCAAAAATAAAAAAATATGAAATTAACTATATTCTTGATAAAAGAATTTATTTTTACAAATTCAAATTTCTTGTTAAATAACTAGAATATCTTCTTTATAATATTATTTAAAAATTTCTTAAGAACTTGAAAAATTTTATAAAGAAGATAAATATTTTTAAAAAATATATATATTTAAATTTAATAAGAATATTATATTTTAAGTAGTAATATATAATAATTTTAATTAGTTATATTTCTTTAGCTTAAATCTTTATTTTGTACTTTTGTATTACATTTATCTTTATATTACTATTTTTAAAAAATTAATAATATATAAATAATTATTAAGTATCAAATTAATTTGATTTAATATATACTATTATATAAATATTTACTATATACTATTTTATTATTAATTTATATATATATACAGGCTTAAGTTATGTAACTCTAGAATATACTCTTCAAAATTCAAATTCATATAATATATTTTAATATTTTAGTTATGTTTATATGTAAAATTTCTTAAATAACCTTTTTATTAGAAAATAAAAGACAGTTTCATAGGTAATATTTTGAGATTCTAGTTACAAGCTGCTTTTCCAAGTGCTTTATTTTAAATTTGTCAATACTTGGAATTGTAACTGAATAATGTGACTATAATAAGATTAATTATATAAACTTTGATCCAAATTATATATAAACTCATTTATTACAAGACTTGATATTACTTTTTGCTAGCATATTTTATAAAAGAGTTGTTTGGTAAGTGTTTGTAGAGTGCATTTTACAGTATATCAATTAAAGTAATGTAGTTGTATCAATAGTTTCAATGTAGAATATAGATTTTTTATTTTTATCAGTAAGTTTTTTCATCTGGGATGGGGTATTTTTCAGATAAGGCAAATCTTTTAATATAAAGTGTCTAGTCTCTTTTCAAATGAAATAATTTGGAAGGTGTAAACTCAAATTTATTGATAAGTGCTTCTTCTTTGGATTGATAAATATTAAATACTTTTTGAGCAATATTATATGGTCAATTGACTTACAATCTGATAAAGTTTTGGATTTATAAGGAATAGAATTTAGAAAAATTTTTGATGATTTGCCTTATGTTAAAGTTTTTTAAATAAGAGTTCGATATTCCGGCGGGTTAGTAACACTACTATTAGAGATGAGAATACTGCGCCAATGTTTTCTTTGTTTTTGTGAAAGAATTAATAGTTGATAGTGTATAGATATTGATTGGATCTCGAAGGACAATGTTGTTAATAATGAGAGAAATGACGTCTATTACCTGATTTTAGGGAAGAGAGATTGTCAACTTACGTTACACATGATAATAAATATAATACATGCACTAAATTAGAGTTGATCATTAACAAAAGACTTTTAACACAACAGCCTGCACATGCATATTGGGATTCATATCATGTGGGAGGGGGTAACGCTACCATATACAGAAAATTAGTAAATGTAAATGTCACTTCCTAATAGGAGTTGTTTCTCAAAATTACAGAATCTAGAATCTTCATCTTGCTTAGTTATTGAAACGATATTGTTATGTTAAGGTAAAATAAAAAAAAGCGTATAAAATTTTTAAATTAACGTTAAGCTATCGTTCTTAATCTAAATATGATGGATGTCTCCAAGTAAAAAGTGTAATCAAATTATAAAATTTTAATTTTAAAGTATATTTATATTATCATTATCGTTATTGTTATACATTGAGCGGATAAAGTTTTATATGATTCTATAGTTAAGTATTGCTACCAATTATTGTTGAAATACATAATCACCTGTATCCAGATTCAGTTGCTAATTAATGATTCCGATAGATTAGCGTTGCTTCAAATTGTGACGAAAAATTTTTTATCGATGTTACTATATGGGCTGAGGTTTTCGAATTTATTTGTCGAGTCTTTGGTAGATAATTTTGTGGGTTTTTCTATCACTGTTATCGGTAGTTTGCTTGATGTTGGAACTATCATGAAGTGGTTTTTGTTGTATCTCGTTCATTATTTGTTGTGGTGGAAAGTAATACGACGGTTGAACAGGTAATTCCGTTGTTGCTATGATCTGTGCCTTATGATTTGGAGCAATGCTACTGCTATTCTGTGAATAAAATGAGGTAGCATGTTGTTGGGATGTCGGGAAAATTGATCTTTGTTCTGTTTGTGATGACGTATTGTAAACCATTCCAGGTTGGATAAAGTAAGATATTTGTGCGGGATAAGCAGAATGATCAAAATAATGTTCTGGGAAAGGTTGTAGTGGTAAAGATAATCGTGATCTTTCTTTCTCTTCTTCCTCAAACAAATAATTTGATAAGGATTCTTCGGACAGATTATGATAATTACCAATCATTGATTTTTGTAAATTGTCTTCTTGCTTTAGTTGTGGTTGTTTTTGATGCTGCTGACCGAAATCATCCAAGGAACATTGATTATCGTTATGAATAAATTGATGCGCTGACATAATGGTTTCGTGATTATTGTGAGTTGATGTAATCGAGTTCAGGAATTCATGCAATGCATAAGATGGCTCAAAGTTATTTTCATTAATTTCTGTTGAGAAACAATAATTACCATTATTTAGTTCATAGTAATCATGTGGGAATCTTGAAAAATCATCAAATAAATCATGTATGCTCGTTTCAGCAGAATGAAATGAGGATGGTTCGTTTGATGAACCGGATGACTCAATATCGCTCATCCCTGTCGAAGGAGGAGCTAATTGTAGATGATACGATGATTTACTGTGATATTGGAAGTTTAATTTCGATTCTTGCTGTTGTTCATTATGAAAAATAAAACTGTTATTGATGTTAATATTATTCTTATGACCATTGGTGGTGGTGTTGTTGTTATTATCAACGGTTGTCTTTGCGTCACTTCCTTTACGTTGTTTTTTGACTCGAACAGGTTGATATCTGTAACTGGGATATTGAATATGATGTTTCTCTTTGACAATATCAAATAGCGCCTGCCAAAATCTTTTCTCTCTTTCAGTAATTTCTCGCCACGTTTCAGATGCTGTTTTGGAGGAAGCACCCACTGACTGAGATTCACCAGTAAGCTTCGCCCTTGCAGAGATATCTTTACGATACAACATGAAACAGTTCTGTGGTCGTGGGATTCCTTTGGCGCGAGTTTGCACCGCGGGTTCAATTAATTCACGAATTCCGAGAGTAGTTTTTATCTCTGGAAATCTTTTTTGCACACTTTCGATCATTTTGGTGATTTTATCATCTTCTTTTTGCGGTGGAGGAGTTTTTCTTTGCATTGGCATTTTTTTTTTTTTGCTTTTTTTTTTTTTTACGAAAATGTATAATATCTGTTTGCCCAGTTAAACTTAGAAAAGGATAATAAATGCTTATGATTGTTTAATGTCTTAATGAACAATATTATTGTACACGTCAGAAAAAAAGGAATTCCAATTCTTCATTGAGCATTTATCTTGTAAATATCAATTTATGCACAATACTTTTCGAGTACTGTTGGTGTTTGTGTGAAAACCGGAAACCGAGTTGCCCCTTTATCAAAATACGCACAAGAGCGTACAAATATCTTTATCCGTCCTCAAGACAATTAAAAAAGATTTTTTGGGACCCTAATGTTAGCGCGTTTGTGTACGTGATCATGATCCGATCTATACTGATTGGTTCTTTTGATAGAGCAGAATTCTCTTGTTCTTATATAAAGAAAGCTTTATTATGGAAAGCAATTGTTGGCGTCCATAATAAATTTGTAATACTCGCCGAATTCTGCGCCATATTCTGGAATCTTACTAATTATTATCTTTTATCAAGGAACTTAAGTCTTATGCAATGAATAACTATTTTTATTTTACATCATGATATATACGTGTCTATGGATGGATTACTGTATTTACTATTTTTATTCGGTATGTAGTAAAAGTACAAGGCACAAGACACGTGAGTTCAGATATGTCCGTGCGGGGGTCATAAATATAATTTTCAAGAAGTAGCTGAACAGCGCCGGAAAAACAACAATATGAAAGTTGAATTATTGCTACGCTATTGTTTAACAACTTGCCTCGACATGAATCATCAAGACATCTAACCGCTTTTCTTCTCAGAAGAATTGTATTATTTCAGATCTTTGATTTTTTTAACGAATCAACGAAAAATAAATTCACCGCTTGATGGCGTCGTCTTTAGTGTATTTCTTTGAATTTAATACTGTATTATGAGATATTATCTTGTCAGAAGAATGGGACAATTCACAAAGAGAATTAATCACACAATGTTCTCATGAATTCAAAGAAAGATTACGTTTCAAAAATCCGAATCTCCATCTTTTTCAAAAGAAAAATTTAGTTTGAATTCACGTTAATTTTAGGTACCTTATTCGCGAATGTTAACAATAATTGCTATCATATAATCGCTCATTACTGTGTCAACTTCGATTACTTATCTTTTCGCCTTTATCATAATACAAAGGTCGTGATAATTGTTTAATATATTCAAATAATACACAGATGGTGAATCTCATTTAATCGATCAAGTTTCTTTCTTCGTTACTCCTAATCGCATTATATTTATTAGGGCGAAACATTATTAATAAAAAAACAAGTCTTTTTATTTCGCCGGCAGAAATTTTTTATGCCATTTATTGCATACATTTACATGAATATTAGTTAAAAAGATGATGTCTTAGAAAAATTATTTCGTTATACGTTACATGTAATTTAAAAAGAGCACTTTATACCGGTTTGGGATTCAAAAGCGGAATTTCATTACGTATACAATGGATGAAAAATTTATCCCCTTGTTCCCAAATACAGTGATTCATGTAATAATGTATCATGTGATTATAATATAAACGCACAACAATAACGATATAACGTTAACAGTGTTTAATATCAAAAAAAAAAAAAAACAAAATATATACATGTACAATGTACGAAATACAAAAGAATAATTGCTAAGTAAAGAAATTAAGAAATGTTGACGTAAAAGTACTGGAGACTATTCCCCTATTCCCCATTATTAATATACTGAGGGGGGAAAATGGCAAACTCCGATTATTGACAAAAAGTAAAATCAAACAGTTTCAAGCACTCATTGTTCCTTCTTCTTTAATGATTTTTTCTAATTCTTTTGCCGCATTCTCGTGTCCGCTTTTTGCTGCTTTACGATACCATTGCTTAGCTAACCCCAAGTCAACCTTAGTACCTATCCCATTCTGATAACAATTCCCAAGATTATATTGTGCAATCGGACGTCCATTATCAGCCGCTTGTTGATACCAATAGAATGCTTTTGCCGGATCCTTGGCGGTTCCAAATCCCGTACGATAACAATGGCCAAGATTAACTTTCGCCGGCGCATATTCATTTTCAACCGCTTTCTTATACCACTGAAAAGCTTTCTCGCCATCTTTATTTGTTCCTTTTCCTTCCTCATAACATTTCGCGAGGTTAAATTGAGCACTAACAAGACCAGCTTCCGCTGACTTTTGATACCAATAGAAAGCGTTGACTTGATTTCGAGCGGTGCCCGAACCGAATTCATAACAGTAACCGACCGTGGCCTGAGCAAAAATTTCACCGGCTTCCGCGGCTTTCTTGTACCAGAAGAATGCTTTTGCTTTATCTTTTGCTGTGCCAATCGCTTCATCGTAGAAATAGCCAAGTCGGCATTGTGCAATCACGTGTCCACTTTCGGCAGCTTTCTGAGTCCAGTAAAATGCTTTGACATCATCTTTTTCAGTACCTATTTTCGATCGATAACAACAACCGACGGCGAATTGTGCTGCCGTGTTGCCTGCTTTAGCTGCTTTATCATATAAACGAAATGCGTGTGATAGATTTTTTTCGACGCCGACACCATTCTCATAGCTATAATGAAGAAATTTATGTGTCCATTAAAGCATATCCCATATGTAAAGATGAATAATCCGAATACATGTAGTTACCATTTTCCCAGTAAAAATTGACCATAAGTATACTCATTATCAGCAGCAGTTTTATATTCATGTACAGCTTTCCGTAAATTAACTTTCGAACCCAATGCACCCGTCTCATAGCAATAACCTAATAAACATCGAAATTGTCGTTGATATCTGGGTCTTTTTAAATTCTCCAACATTTGTGGTGGTTCCAGGTTATTTCTTGTCTTCACATGTTCTCTTATCTCGTTCTTTATTTTTGCTAAATTTGTTCCACGGTCTATTGTTTGTAGAAACATTTTCGCTAATTCGTTTAGCGGACCGTGTGTTCTGCTTTCGTTGTATGAAGAATATGACATATCTTTTTGGTTTTCTTTGTAACCGAGAACAGAGAAAAATATTTTGAAGAAAAAATTATTATTATTATGATTTACTATTATTATTACCCACAGTTCGTCTTTTATTATTAATTCGTTTTTATTGTTTATATTACATGTATAATCAAACAATCTTAAGAAAAAATAACGGAAACGAAAACGACTGGTTCCGAAAGTTTATATATGATTGTCTTTCCTATTATACAGTGATCTTTGACGACCATGTGGCATCATTTTTTCAATCGGCAATAAGGAGTTATTTAATTTTATTTTAGCGTTAGATTTTTACGTTAACTATTAATAGCGATAGTTGCACACATTAATTATTTTCTATTGTGTGCCCGCTTTGTTAATTTAACTCGTTTCGACGACGTGAACTGACATATCAAAATAAATATGCTTCGGTTCGGAATGATTACCCATCGTTATTTCAAAATCTTAAAAAAGTTAGAGTGCATGTAAATCATCTTCGTCTTAAAATACATGTAATGATTACACACAACCAATCTAATCTTTTGGGAGTACAAAGACAAGGAAATTTGCGTAACATGTTCATATCTATATAGAAATTTCCAAATTTTTCTGAACGTATTGATACTTATTAAGGTAATTAGGTTACACCATTTCAGTCAATATCTTCCATGTTACAAAAAATCCATGTACTCCAGTCGAATGACAAACGCAAAATTGAGAACGTGACAAGTTCGTGTGTGACAAAATCGAGAGCCGGCCGTCCGTACATGTTCGCATTACATGGTTTACAAGTAATCAATTATAGTTAAAAGATGGCTTAAAGCTGGTCAAATTTTAGGGAATGGAAAGAAACGTGTTTAAGTCAATTTTTTTCGTAGTGCTGGACATTATGCATTTCTAAATCCCAATGAAAACTTTTGTAATACAAATTACTTCGCGTATAATAAGATAACGATTGGAATTTCAATCGCAGTTGCATGTTTATCAGCTTTGAAGCTTACTTTATATTAGAATTTTAAATTTATAAATTTTATATATTCGACGACGTTTTCTGAGAGAAGCGATGAATTAGGATGAATTCCATCCATCTTTTCCAATTACATGTACATTTACTCATATTTACCAAAAAATTTTAAATACATGGTAAGCGGACGTCGAGTTATCGTGTAATAAAATGCACGAAAATGGGTAAGGTTTACCTTACAGTATTTATATTTATTGAGAAATCAATTTAATTGATTGATGCAAAATAGAAATGGATCATCTGTAAATAACCCAATTTTGAATAAGAAAGTATCATATAAAAACAGGAAATAAATTATCTATCTATGATAGTATTTATAGATTCATATTTTTTTTAATACATGTATCATAGATTCATGTTTTACCCATCTACAATTCACTATATGAAAAACATCGTTATCAATCAATAATAAGCTCTAGCTTAATTTAATATGTCCGTTTTTACTAATAATTTACGAAGTATTTTTTACATAAAAGAATTACCAATAGATTTTTCAATGTGAACAAAATAGAAGTTAAGTCTTTGTATTACAATAATTTGTAGTGTGAAAATAAGTTGCCCTTTTTTTGTATGGTTTTAAGCTTGAAAATGAGTGAAAATAGCTACTTTCGTTTTTAATTTTATGCAGGGCTAAATAAAATAAATATATATATTTTACATAACAAATAACATGGAAAGTAGTTTATTTTTAGACTTTTATGATACAACTGATTAATAATATTTCTTTCCTAAGAATGATTTATATATTTGTGACAGTATCAAGTGTATTTGCGCTTCTATAAAAGAACGTTCTTTCAGAAATTCTCAAATAACAATATAAGGGACTAAAGAAAGATTTGCACGATAAAGAATAGTTTTAATAATTTCTTATTGAACCTATCCTGAATTCTGTCATTATAATGCTATAAAGTTCAATGTCTTAAAATGTGAAATTTGATTATATGATTATTATCATAGTAAGTTGACATCGAATTATGTTTTACTTAATGATCATATTTTGAGTATATTTGTCCTCATTTTATAATGTAAGTAAAAATTTTTTTAATATTACTTTATTTTTTGCATACAGTGGCGACCAAAAGTAATGACTCGGGGGCTAAATTTATTAATAAAATATAGTGAAAATTGAAATTTTCACTATATTTTATTAATAAATTTAGCCCCCGAGTCATTACTTTTGGTCGCCACTGTATATATTATATTAGATATATTGTATTTTATTTCTTAAAATAATGAGGCGTATGCACAGTATATATTAAATGTATATTCTGACTAATGCTGGATATAAATCTAACTATATTGATCATGGTCAGTCGGTTCTATCCTGACATCCCAAAATTCAAAATCCAAACAATCCATAATCAAAGATCCCGATAATTCAAGATCCTGAATGATATAAAGTCTCAAAGGTTCAAGACCAGAATGTTACAAAATTCACAAGAAAATGAAAAATGCGAAAATGCAAAAAACACGAGAAACAAATTTAGCATGGAGCATCAATAAAAAATGTCGGGAGACAATTTTACATATAATCTTTAATTAGTGGTTCAAAACTGTCAGGATCTCGAACCATTCGGAATTTTGATTTCAGGAGCTTGAATTATCGGATTTTGAATGTCTGGATCGGGATCATCTACCCTTTAGGATCTTAAATATGGATTGTCGGGATTTGGGTAATGGAACGTTGGGAGATCCCAATATGAACCTTTGCGTATATTTTTTTTGAAGGGTTTGCGGGTGACTTTTTAAACAACACACTGATAGGAACATGATTCCTCAAACCGCTTCTTTACAAGCATATTAAACTTTATAGCTCTAATATATCGAGTTTTTGATAAATTTCGTTTTGTTTATAAAAATACAAAATAACAACCTTTCTTAGAATTCTTCAACTAGTTTGCTAATTAATATAAGAATATTACGATATATAATAATATAAAATGACTTGAAACAGTTCGCATTTAAAAGCATTAATTTTAGAATATTTTAACTGTAATAAAAAAGAAGTGTAATATCAGATAAACACTGTAAAATGATTTTTGCTTTGAATACAGATTAGTAGAACCGCACCATACTGAATCTGTATACACTGGGCAACAGATTATCTCTCACATATAATGATAATGAGCAAAATTGAATCTTAATCTAAACCTTAACGTTTTATTTAATTATGTAAATTGTTAATAACGAGTCTAACATAAACACTCAATACGAATATTAACGTTAAATCTGGCAAAAGATAAAATTTTTAACACACACGAGAAAGAGGAAAGAACAGAGTTACCCTATAAAGAAAATCACCCTGTAAAATTTACAAGGTTTTTCCCCTGTAAAATCGCTGTAATCCGTTACAAATTATAGGTGGTTACAAGTTTTTACATATACCAAAAGTGTTTTTGGCAGGCCACTACTTTCTAATGCTAATTTTCGATTTTCAAGTCAAGAGGGATTTTGGTTATTGAAAAAATCTAGAAAATGTCAAAAGTATGTAGCTACCTGTAATTCGTAACGAATTACAAGGATTTTACAGGTGCCCCTGTAATCACCTGCAAAAGTTACAGGAGGTTATAGGGGTTTACAGATCAAAATTTCCCATAGGGTATTGTAAATTTATTATAATCTGATTTAAATTCATCTCCTACAAAAGCTAAAAATAATATCGATACCCATGTTAATATTTTCAAAAGATGAGTTTGTTTTCGATGAACTGCTTAAACTTTTGTATAAGTTTAAAACTGCACCGCTATGAGAAATTTTGAACTGTAAACCCCTATAACCACCTATAACTTTTGCAGGTGATTACAGAGGCACCTGTAAAATCCTTGTAATTCGTTACGAATTACAGGTAGCTATATAATTTTAGCATTCTAAATTTTTTCAATAACCAAAATCCCCTCTTGACCTAAAAATCGAAATTAGCATTAGAAAGTAGTGGCCTACTAAAAACACTTTTGGTGCATGTAAAACCTTGTAACAACCTGTAGTTTCAATCTTATCATAATTAGGACCGAATAGATGATTAAATTATTTTGGCTTTTATACCTTTGAAAATTGTTATCTTTATACTATAATAAGTCATGCATGTATTTTATTAATTAATAATATGAAAAATAATTAAGCATTTTATTGCTGTAAATAAGCACCCCTGGCCCGCATTTTAATCATTTTGCCCAACATTACTAGTAATTTTGGCCAACCTCGTTGTAAAAAAGGGAAGATTATACACCAAATTTTTTGTCAATGAATATATTAATCACTTGAAAAACTACGTACTTTCATCGTTGATTATAGTTGCATAATAAGTGACGTATACCACTGCATTATTGTATACACGTGCATACGTGCATGAATATACGTCTGGTAAAATTTGATATTTTAGTAATACATGTACCAATACATGTACATAATTATACATGTAGATGACGTTGATCTGAAAAATCTATAAAATGTTCACGAGAAAAAGTCAATTTTTGAAAATCCAGTTATTAAATATAATATTAAAACCAGAAACTATCTACTATATATAAAAAAGATGTTTACATTCATCCCAATCGAAACCAACCACGACAACCGTATCTTCGGATCCCATTCAACAACGGTGAAAACTATCATCGTTATCCAACAACTAGCATATATTGTCACCCGCATGCTTACTTTAATCATGCTCCAACACGTCGACATGAATCTTATTATGATGCAAATAATCTAGAAAATATAGTTTCGGAATTAAAGCATCTAGAACGAAAAAGAGCTGAAGAAAAGGCGCTCTATGAGAAAGCCAATGTATTTATGCTGAACGTGAAAAAGAGATACGCCAACGAGCATATCGATAGTGGGTTTCTTAATCAACAAGAAGCCTTAAAGCATATTTTTGAGTTGAGAGCAGCTGCTGCAACACTAAATAAGAATCAAAATATTTAAAATCATTCATGCTCTAATCTTTGCCGAAAACCACAATCAAGAAACCAAACACAAGAAGCAGCAAAGAGAATTATTTTATTCATGCGTCATCGCATAGAAAAACGATCCACCCTACTTATAATTAATAAGCTAAGACATCTCTGATTCATTGAGCAGCATTTAGTTTCACTCGTCCCAAAATCTGGATTCAATCCAGATTTAACATTCACAACTGAGAATGCAAAGCAAATATTACCAATCACTACAAATAATCGTGCGTATCTTATCAAGGAAGAATCTATTCTCAAAACTTTAGATTCATTGAAAGTAACGAAATCGAAATTATTCGTGAAAGATTGCATAGAAAATGTCAGAAATGTTGGATAATATCAAGGATAAACAATGGAAAGAATTCAGTAAAAATGAGAAAGGAAAAGTGGAAACTGATAATATTGAGAAAGAAAATAACAATCATAAAGATAATGATAACATGAGGTAAAATCTAATTCGAATGACAGATACAAATCAAATATAAAAGCAAATACAGAAACAATTACACCTTTATAATATCTGATTCTATTGACCAAAATTCTAATAGTAGATTAGAAGAAAATGATAGTTTAATTAAATCCACAGCCTCTTTTTCCTATAACACTGATACTACATCTAATATAAACGATAATATCGACAACAGTTTAGCAATAAAAATGAAGATAGCATAGAGACAACTCTCCCCGAAAATAAAAACATTACATCTTCGGAATCTGTTTGCAGCAAAAGTGATCAATGAAATTAATGAAAATAGTATTGAATTAGAAAAAGATGATGAATTTATAGTAGTGTGATGATTATAAAATAAATCGGTTTATAAATGTATGTACAATATCAATATACGTGATAAGATAGCAATAGATTTATTTTTTTTATTTACATCAAATTCTATTTATAGAAAATATTATAAATAAAAGTTAATTAATATTGTGAACTTTAAAAGAGATCTTTTCACTAATACTAAATTGTAATCCGCTAACGCCAAATAATTATTAGGCTAATTCCCGTAAAAATCCAATATATAAATATTATGGCGAAAAAGTATTGACTTAAAAAAATGAGAGTAATATGTAAGCAAGATTTTATGAAAATGAACTGCAATAACTAATGAAGCCAATACCACGACCTCAATCAATCGGATGTATGAACTTTTTATAGATAGATTTGAACTTTGGGATTGATGTATTATATATTCATATTAGCAACAAAGATGAGTACTGCAACTGTTATAATTTATTTATTATAATATTACAATTCAAAATTTATAAGATTGCAACTAGTTGCAATTAGGGATGCTAACGACTCGACTCAAATCGACCGACTCATAAAAAAAGTTGACTTTTTTTTAAGTCAATTTTTTTTTAGAGTCGGTCGACTAAGTTGATCATATTAAGTTTTTATGCACGTTATGCATAATAATAATATGTTTCATCATTTATTATATTGCTATTGTTTTGTGTGATTTAAATATAAGTTAGATAAACTAAAAAACTAAATGTGTTATAAGTTAAAAAAATTAATGAATTTTCTTTGATAATTATGAAGATGATAATAATGTTTTAGAAGAATATACAGTGTCTCATAATTATGGGATCACTTGAATCAAATTTTTTAAACTTAAACTTTTCATAAATTTTGTAAATTAAAATAATTTAAACTAGCTATAAATGATTATATCTTTGATTAATTTTAATTTAACAAACTTTATTTATAAATTTCATGATTCCATAATTTTGTTATATAATAGCAATCAATTTGATGCTAATACAAATTCAAATAAAAAATAAAATTATTTATAAATTTTCTCACAACCAAAATTTATCTTTTTATATATCTTTCTTAACATAAACTATATTATAAATTCTTTATGACAAATTCTCAATTAGCTTATGACAGATTTTAACTTTAATTTCTCTTTAAATCTGTTATAAAATCTCTCATAATATCTGTTTACTAGAAATTTATGATAATGACACAGCTGCCTATTTATCTAATCTTATAAATGTTCAATATAATTAAGATCTGGAGATTGAACAGATCACTTGAGAATATTAATTTTATTTTCTATAAGCCAGACTTGAATAATTAATATTTTGTATTTAGAATCATTATCATAATAAAATACAACTACAAATTTCTCAAGATTTTAATCATCAATTATTTCTAAAAAATTCTCAGATAGATAAAGATTTGCATCCATATTATTATCAATTTTACAAAGATTTCTAATTCCATCTCAAGTAAAATAATCTTATATTTTATATTTTCATTATCAAATTTTACTGTTAGCTTTACAAATTTATCTTTGATACTTTTTTATTATGATATTAATAATATTATTTACTATCTGATTTAAATAACTAAAATTTACTTTTATTTGATAGTTTATCTTTTTCTAGTTATGAATAAATTAATTTTTTACAAAGATTAAATAAGCTTTATAATATTATTTTTAAAGTAATAGTTTTTTTCTTTTAATAAATATTTTAAGATTATATCTAGTAAGAGTATAATAAATTATATTAATATTATCTTTCACTTTTAGAATTTCTAGTATTCATAACTATTATATAATATTTATTAATAATATAATAAAGTATATAATTTTCTTGATTTTTAATAAGTAAATATAGATATTCTTATCTTGATTTTAATAAAAAAAATATTATTAGTTATATATTTCTAACAGATTTTAATTATAATTAATTAATTAACTTATATTTTTTTAATTGTTATTCAAATAAAATAATTTTTCTGAATAATTATGAAAATTTTGATTTATTATTTAACTAATATTACTTGTATTTAATATAAATAAAGAAAAATAAATAAATATATATCAATCTTTATATTACAGATAATTTTTATTTTATATATATAATATCAAATAAATATTAATAATTAATCATTAATATAAAATTACAAAATAATAAAATTATAAATATAAAAAATAAATTGAGATTGATAAAAATTAAAAAAAAATTTAATAATTTTTTTAAATAAATTTTATTATAACTTATTATTTTTATAATTTTAAAATTTTATAATCATTATTATATAATTAAAATAAAAAAAAAATAATATTTGATAAATTATCTAAATAATATATTAATAAAAATAATTCTAATTTTAGTAGTAATCAAAAATAATGACTTAAAGGCTAAATTTACTAATAAAATATAATGAAAATTGAAATTTTCTCTCTATATTAAAATTTATAGTTTTAATAAGAAATAATTTTTATTTTTATATTAAAATAAAGTTTATTAGTTATAGTTTAAAATATATTTTTTTCAGATTTTTTAGATTTTTTCTAAAAGAGTTACTCTAATTATAAAGTTAATGCAAAAATTTTTATTAATTAAAAATAAAATTTAATTAGTAAAAATTTTTGCACTAACTTTATAATTAAAGCAACTCTTTCAGAAAAAATCTAAAAAATTTGAAAAAAATATATGTTAAATTACAACTAATAAACTTTATTTTAATATAAAAATAAAAATTATTTCTTATTAAAACTATAAATTTTAATATAGAGAGAAAATTTCAATTTTCATTATATTTTATTAGTAAATTTAGCCCCCGAGTCATTACTTTTGATTACCACTATATTATTATTATCTATAATTTAATAATAAAAAAAATTAAATAAAAATATATTCTGAAAAGAATAAGTAATTCTTTCAATTAAATATATTATTTAAAATATATAATCTTTTTAATAGTGAATAATATTTTATTTTATAATTTATTAAATAAGCTTGATTTATTATTTATAATTCTAAAATATTAAATTATATATAATAAAATTTTAAAAATATTTATTAAATAATAAATTAAACTTAATATTATTATTATTATTATTAATATTTTAGATAAAGTTTTAATAACTATAAATATATAAATCAGTATTAAAATAAAATATTTTATATAATTATAATATATTTTATTAATAAAGTTTAATATTTATATTAGTTTACTTTAGAATTTATCATATTTTAAGAAACTTATATAAATATAATAATTTGTAATTATATAATAAAAACTTAGAAAAATTTGATTTAATTTAGAAAATTACTATAATTATTATAAATAATGGCTTAAATATAATTTTAATATATTATCAAAACTTAATTTAAATAATATTTTAACTAAATTTTTAATTATTATTATATATATTATATATTGAATTTTATAATTAAACTAAATTAAAAAAAGTAAATATATTAATTAAAAAAATATAATAATTTATAAATCTTATACATATCTAGAAAATAAAAAGACATTTTTTCAATTAATTCTTAATATAAATTATATTAAAATTTAATTTTTTATATATTAAAATATATTTAAATTCTTAAGATTTATCTTAATATATTAATTATATAATATTCTTTATTAAATAATTTATATTTAATATTAACTAAATAAAATTAAATTGAAAATATTATAAAATTATTAAAGTAATTTAATATAATTATAAAAGAATTATTTAATTAAACTTATCTTATTATAACTTACAGTGATCATCAAAAGTAATACAACACTTAAATTTTTTATTAATTGTAATTAGTAAAATATATGATTTTTCTTACATATAAAAGTTTTTAATTTTACTAACAAATATTTTTTATTTTTATCTCAAAAAATAGCTAAAGTTC